GGTTCTTAAGGCCGAAGACTTGGCAAGGGTTCAGCTGGGTGATCGAATTGGTTAGTATTATTATGTATGTGCAACTAATTTGTTGTTGTTGTTGTTGTTGTTGTGAGGTGTGCATATAATAAAGGCATGTGTGTAGTAACAAGATGTTATTTTCCCACCCGCGGCTACATGCATGCTTATGTACATACGTACTTTCGTTGTCTGATTGCTAGTATTTGATGATCTTGGTGCGATTACTTTTCCAAGGACAGGTTTGGTTTGCAATTAAACAAATCTGGTGAAGGCATGTGTGTGTGTATATATATGTGTGTATTTTTGTATGCAGCCCCGCCTTAGTTGTGACCTTTGTTGGAAAAGATAGAACGGTGGGGTAATTGGTTGTACATTATTGTGTGGAGATGTTGTGGTACGTACTTTCTTTTTTTGACTGAATTTTCCTCTGGGGATTGTTTATTAAAAAAGAATTATTATTTTAAATTTTTGGTCGAAAATCATATCATTAAAAAGAAGCCCAGGAAAAAGGCTAAACAAGGAACAAAAGCTGGTATAAAATTACTAAATATATATTTTTTTTAAGAGGGGTATCAAATTACTAATTAGGGAAGAAGACCAGAACTCTAGAAGCCAACTTTAACATTTTTTATTATTTATTTATCCAAGGCTTAGGCTTGAATTCCATATGTTTTTCATGAACCTTGCCAAAATCGAAATTCTCATTACATCACTAGCTTGCTAGCTAGCAACAAGACAATCAATTACATCGGCCATCATCGTACGAATTCGACATTAATTTCGATTTGATTTTGCATCCCACTAGAACTAGTAGAACCAAACAATTCATCATGTAAACGTCTGATATGAAGAAGTTGAGCGTTTGAAGGTGACCCAAGCAACTGGTAGGTCTCTTTGGGAGATGTTGATGGAGAGAAATTGAACTTAGCCAGTCCCTTAGCAGCTGAATAATCCCATGCCATAACCTCGAGCTTCTCTCATGGAGGGCCTTTCATCTTGCAACCCTAAACAGCTTTTTGCGAGATCAACCACTTTCTTGGCTGTCTCCAATGTTTCCTTCTTGATTATTTTACCATCAAGCGTGCAGAGTTCCAGAGCCTAGATCTAGTCTCGATGCTAGGTTTAACATATTTTATTTGTTGAAAAAGTAATGCATATTTGTGTAGCTGTAACTACACAATTCTAGAAAACTCAAGAACCTACAAACTAGATGATGGAATGTCGGCAACACAAAAATAAATATGCAAAGAATATTCTAGATGAAGCCACACTTGTGGCTGGATAAAAGAGAGCAAATCAGTGGGACTAGAGCATGGCCGCAAGACACATATGGCTAAAGATAAATATCTATGGAGGAATTCTCTGGAGCAAGACTACATTAACTAGATATTATATTAGAATAATGTAGTTAAGCCAAGAAAGTTGTATAAGTAAATGAAGAAGCCAAGTCGGTGGAATTTGGGCTATGTCGGTTAGGGACAACTATAAATAGGCAAGCCATCCAATGTAATGAATTAAGTGAATAGGTTGGGAGTTAACCAAAGAGAACTCCCAACTAAGGGAGCCAATAAGCTCACCAATCTAAGTGAAGGGCTAAATAGCCCAAGCTAATCTAGATCAAGTGTGATGGCCAATTAGTCAAAATACTAAGGAGGCTAATAAGCCAATAAGCTATGAAGAAGGCCAATTAGCCTATACCTCACCTATGTACTACTCTCCTCCAAATCTAATAAAATCACTATGTTTCCCCTACAAACCAATAAGTGGTATCGTAACACACACATCACACCCCCTCAAACTAACATTATTAAAGCCTGGAATTAAAATGTTTTTCATGAGAACTAGAAAGCACTGCAATTTGCCAAAACTAAATTTGCTTTGTGTTGGGAGACGAACGAATCTAGTCAGCAAGACTTGGGGACATGACCTGTCACGCCCCGGACCCGGGGGTAGGCGGAAACCCCGCGCCCGGTGCGTGAGTAAAATAAAAATAAAAAGAAATACAAAGAAGGGTTTAAAATAAACTTCTGTTATAAAAATAGTTTCAAAAATCTTACAACTTTACAAATAATAAATAAAGCTCTATCACTCTCATCTAATTCAACTTCAACCGGTTTAGTCCTTGTCTTGCCCACTAAATCATCTGAAAAATTAAACAAGGTGAGGGATGAGCAACCACCGCTCAGTGAGTAGATTATGTAATATGCCAGTCAAGCAATGCCGTTTTACACACTCTAGAAAATATAATGAAAAGATACACCAATCCAGATCATATCACATCATCCCTTCATATCTCGGTTATCCTTCATAGCATGTAACCAACCACGTGATCCCTATATTGGCTTCACTGCCCTATGTCCCCGTGTGGTACATCTATCCCTCGGATATTCCAACATTGAAGTTCTCATGTTCCATGAATAATACATACTTCATATTCCAATCAATATATATATATAGTGTGAAAGATTGCACCAAATTAGACATGCTTGACTTGAAATAGAGAGATATTTGTAAATAGAATAAATCCATGATAATTCATGGTTTTCATATTTTATCATAAAATAAGAACTTTTAGAACACATTACATAAACCACTCACCTTGATAATGAGAGCCCTTAAAGAAATTGGGAGGACAACTATATCTATCTTCATGGACTACTGCGCATGCCATGAGAACAATAATAGGAAAGGGTTCCTATTTATACTACTACATAGGCGGCAACTACTTTCCTTCAATTGGTCTAATGAATGGCAATTGATAAGGTTTGGCTCCAAGTTTAGATAGCTATTATTGGAGTGCCAACACCTCATGCTCAAAAAGAGCTTACTCATCTAGGTACAATGACACTTGGAGTCTAAAGTACGTTTTGGATAATAACTTAGGCAATTGAACTTGGTTGGCAAGAAACAAGAGATAAAGCTGTCATAAAAAAACAATACATATAAATATTACTATTTTTAATAACTAATAAGATAAATTTATGAAAATATAAAAAATACGGGGTTTCACATGACCAGATTCTGTTCTCAGTGCTAACATAACTTTATTTTTAAATTTTTTTTTTTTTTATCCAAGTCTAGAATTAAAATTTTTTTTCTAATCACCCTCCCTCAGTATCGCTTGTATCAAAATATTTTAAACTCTAATCCGCCTCTCCTATTAGTTTAAAAAACATAGCTCTAAGAATCACATTATAACAACAATAAAGTACAGTATTTCTGACATACTTTTATTTAACGGGCACCCACTTAAATTGAAACAAAATACAATTAATTACATCGTTAGGAACAAACCAATTAGCAAGATGCCTCTCGTGCCAATTGAGTAGTTGCAAAATTAAAGTTATTTACACTAACATCCCTCGAGTTTTTTGGTGTTTTCATAAAACTCCTTGATGTTTCAAACATTACACAAATACTCCTTGAAGTTTCAAATTTTTTTCACAGAACTCCTTTTCGTTGATTGTTCTATAAAAAAATGATTATTTCATAAATAAAAACTTATGGAAATGACAAAATTAACCTCAATGAATGTATGTGCAATCTAATCTGAAAGGCTAACTTTGTCTGTTGGATAATTTATATATATATATAATCATCAATTTTGGGATGAAAAACCAATGGAAAGAGGTTTTGTGAAAAATTTAAAACCTCATAGAGTTTTGTGACAGAGATTAGTGCAGTTAGCGCACCGAAAACGGCACTAGGTGTTGGTGTAAAAAAAACTCTGCAAAATTAACTAATGGTAATAAACTATTTGCTTAGGTTGGAAAGACGAAGGAATTTATTACAAAAAGATACTTGGTGACCAGACTAGAAGTTAAGAATGTTTCCATGACAAGAGTTAAGAATGTTTGTTTATGACAACTAGCGATCTATTAGTACTGCATTCAAACAACTTGCCAAGATGTTGATGATTAATAAAAAAGACACTTGTCTCATGAAATTTTAATCAATATAAACTATATATATAAAATGTGGACTGCATATCTGTGTACGAACGATGTGTTGTATATTTTAAGGTTCTCCTGAATTGATCTTCACGTGACGACCCACGTTACAATGTACAAAAGGCAACAATTTGGGTGTTTACACGTGATTTATTATTTTTATGGTACTACTTCGATTAGATAAGCTAGTTTATTTTATTTGATTTATTATTTTTAAGGTAGATAGATTTATTTGATAAAACAAGGTAGATAGATTTTCTGGTTTATTATTTTAAAGGTATAATCAAATAGCAATTTGATTGAAATCCAATTAGCACTATGAAGATTTAATAAAATAGCAATTTGTGCGTTCTAGATATGCACATGCCATGTAATTCTTAATATAGGAAGCACTCCCAAGTACTTTTCAGAAAGCACCTCGATATCTTAGGAAAATTTAAATATTTTTATAATAAAAATGTTTATGAGCAGAAGTGCTTCCTAAAGAAGCAGTACCAAACGAGCCCATAGTCTTTGTTTAAAACTATAAGTTTGGCAAGATAATTGTATCTCCAATCATACGTGCTTACTAGAAGTTCTTTTCTCTTTTCATATTGCTAGACATCGATATATTTTATCAAGAGTTGGATAGGCCTAGGGAGATTATGTTTGAAGTTGAAGTTTTTAACTTCTCTAAATTTTAGTTAAGAAGCTCGTTTAAGGAGCTCTTTGGAGATGCTCTCTAATACATATATATGAATGTGTTGTACCGTATGTAAACTTGAATTGGATCAGTTCTTAGATGAGGTACGTTTGCAAACTTGAATTAGATACACATCCTCCTCACATTACGACCCACGTTACCGTTAACTAAGTTGACTCAAATTGAAACAAGCTAATATTTGTCAAGGGTTTTTACAATACATCACTAGCAGCAAATCAATTAAGGGTTTGCAGTGTCTACCCTAAAAAAAAGGGACTCAAATTGAAACAAGCTACAATTTTCATTACATCACAAGCAAGCTGGCAACAAGACAATCAATTATATATCGCCCATCATCATACGAGTTCGACATTAATTTCGATTTGATTTTGCAAGCTGCTGTCGTCGTATAACTCTGCACGGCCAAAAGATTCATCATGTTCACGTCTGACATGAAGAAGTTGAGCGTTTGAAGGTGACCCAAGCAACTCATCGGTCTCTTTGGGAGATGGAGAGAAATTCAACTTAGCCAGTCCCTTAGCAGCTGAATAATCCCATGCCATAACCTCGAGCTTCATGGCTACTTCTCTCATGGAAGGCCTTTCATTTTGCAACCCTAAACAGCTTTTTGCGAGATCAACCACTTTCTTGGCTGTCTCCAAATTTTCCTCCTTGATTATTTTACCATCAAGAATTTGATCCCAGCGACCCTCTTCCACTGAACGAGCAAATAACTTTGCTAGGCCTCTCTGTCCCTTAGGCTTTTCACCACAAAATGCTTTCTGGCTTGTCAGTAGCTCAACTAGGACCACTCCAAAGCTATAGACGTCGTTCTTTGTTGACAACTTTTTTGATTGTTTATTTTCAGGGTCTAAGTATCCGGCTAAACCTCGCAGGGTGCCTTGTATTTGAGTTTGATCTTGAGGAATCACTTTTGCCTCTCTAAAGTTGGCCAATCTTGCCCTGTAATTCTTATCTAATAGTATTCTTTTCGAATTCACATTTAGATGTACGATTGATTTATTCTTGGAAGTAGAGGAGGAGGAGTGCAAGTATTCTAGTGCTGCTGAGATTTCTACTGCTATCTTCATTCGCATTTGGAATGAGAGCGTTGATGATCCTTCGCTTTTTCCATGAATATGCTCGTAAAGAGTGCCATTGTTGATGAACTCGCAAACTAGGATTTCTCCTCCCAGATCTGCACAATAACCTAAGAGCCTCACAATATGTCTGTGTTTAATCTGAGAAAGAATAGTCACCTCTTTAACAAAGATTTCAGAGACAATTCTACTAGGTACGTCTAACTTGAACTTCTTTATGGACACCACGCTTTTATCTTGTAGAACTCCTCTGTAAACTATTCCTTTGCCTCCTCTACCAATGATTCTACCGTCATAGAAATAATCTGTCGCCCTAGAAATTTCTCGTGCAGAAAACTTTCTGGGTGCTAACTTGGAAGGTGCATTATTATTATGTATAGCCAATAT